GTTCCAGGATGTTTCTCAATCTACACAGAGACCATCTCTTCCTATAGAGTTGTTGTATTGGAGCTGCTGATGGCTGTCTTTCTATCTCAGGTAGCCGCATCAGAATGGTGTCTGCAGAGAGAATAGCAAAGCTGAGAGATGAGAAAAGAGACTCCTGATAGCCTGTCTGGAGGAGCTGGATCCAGCTTTGCCTGAAGTCAGATGCGCTTATGGATTTCCCTGAAAGAAGTCAACAAAATTTCCTTTATGAATCAAGTCAGTTTGATTTAGGTTTCTGTTTTTTGGAATCTAAGAGCTATTGACCCAACCAGAATTGTTCATCAATGCACTTAGTTTTCATCAGATGCTTTTAAGGAACAGACAAGGAAAACACATAGAAATCTCCACTCTGGTATCGGACCATTGACAGCACTCATCCTCTTATCTCCTGGTGTTTAGGGAAAACCTTCTGATGGCTTTTATACTTCTTTGGCGATTGTACATTCCATTTTCAATCCTTTCCTTAAGATGGTTAGCATAATCTGAGCATTGTGTTTTCTCTTTCCTCTGAGTGCGGAATTCACTGGATTTGTCTTTCAAGTATGCTTCTTCAAGTTGGCCGTCTTCATAATAGGGTGAACAAGTCTTTCAGATGTTTACATGATTCACCCAACTATCTCAACTGTGATCTATCTGAATCAATCCTCTGTGCCAGAGAGATACAGCACCGTGTTTACCATGTTTTGTTGTTTTTTGAGATGGAGTCTCACTCGCTCTGTTGCCAGGCTGGAATGCAGTGGCGTGATCTTGGCTCACTGCAATCTCCGCTTCCCGGGTTCAGGCAATTCTCCTGCCTCAGCCTCCTGAGTAGCTGGGACTACAGGCCCGCTCCACCACGCCTAGCTAATTTTTGTATATTTAGTAGAGATGGGGTTTCACCATGTTGGCCAGGATGGTCTCGATCTCTTGACCTTGTGTTCCACCTGCCTTGGCCTCCTAAAGTGCTGGGATTACAGGCGTGAGCCACCGTGCCTGGCCAGCACCATATTTTTAATGACAGTGGAAACAAGTATATCACGCTGGTTTAAGATGTTCTCTCGCTTTTTCCCATATATAAACAAATGTCTTCCCTTCCCAAACATGTGTCTACAAACTTCTTTTATAAACATTCTTCTAATATAGTCAAAGATTTAAAAAAAAAAAAGAGTGGGGGGCATAATGATACATGTTATTCAGCTCTTGAAAAAGACAATAATAAAGGCACTAATATTTTTAGAAAACTTCAGAGGCATCTCACTGCTGAAATTATTTACAGGATATTCATGCTGCTGTTAAATAAGCAGATCAGCTTTATCTTCTAATAAAAAAAGCAGCCCATTGTCAGAGGACTGTGGTAAGTTTTACAAAAAATAAAATACCAGCAGATAACAGGTATTATGTTTTCTTCTGGCAAATATTAACACTTCACAGCAAGCATATCTTGCTTACTTAATTGGGCCTATAAAAACTCAGCAGACTGTTTCACTTGCAGCCACTGAAATTCTTTCAACTTGTGCTTTATAGCTTTTCAGAGCTGAGAAGGGAAAACAGTTACAAAACAGAGCAGCTGAAAAGATTTTAAGGTCTCAAGTCCATATTTACAAACCTTACAGTCTGTGTGTATTCATTTATTTTAAAACAAAATGAATAAATTAGGAGATCCTTTGGAAAAGAAAAAAAATCCAACAAATTTGAGAATAAAAGAACAAAGCATGTCAGTTGAGGCAATTCCCAAATTGTCTCTATAGGTTTCCCAGCCCTCTGTCTCCAACTATGTACCTCCAATAGAATTAACTACTCCCTCTGAGTACATATAGAAGCCAATACCTCTCTAGCCTATAGCATTTACCACATATATTATTGCTCTGTTTTGTTTAGGCTTAGAGATCTGTATTCCTGGCTAGATCATGAGTTCCTCCAAGGTAGAAGTAATGTCATATTCTTGTTACCAGCACCTGGTCTACACTAAGATTTAGAAAATATTTGTTAAAATGTAATAGGAACCAGGGGAGAGGAGAGAGGGGAGGTGAGAGGGGAGAGGGGAAAGGAGAGGGAAGAGAAGACAGGCATGAAAGCAAGTGAGTACCCAAGGGATTAGTAAGAAAAATCTTAGACTCCAGGCCACTGGGCAGGTGCAATAATGGTAGAGAACTACATACAAGATGATCTGGGAAGATGTAGAAAGTCCAGGGCAAGCCAAAGGAAAAGGATTAGTCATATATATATATATTTAAAAATATTTATAGACCCTAATAAACTTTCAAGTGGTGATTTTCATTATTTTGGCTTTGAAGACCTTTGTGAGCATACTTTCATTCTTGCTGGCCTATTTTTAAATGAGTTTACAAGTAGTTATTAGGTAACTTATCTTTGTAATTTCCTTCTCAATAGTTCGGAAGTTCCCCAGTATAGAATGACTCCAAAAAACACTCATCAGGCCTCTCAACCAGAGGCACTGGACTTGGGGGAGTTCTAAGCTCATAACATTATTTCTGATGATGCTGGTCCACGCAGTGGTTTTGTTAAAGAAGTTGGACTGCTTTAGTGTTTACTCAAAGGATCAAAGTCAATATCCTATTTTTAGAATTGTGGGTCAGAATCCTTGATGACCACCTGGCGCATTCCCTCAGGGTCTCTCCTGGGCCCCATTCTTCCCTTTCATGCAACTGTGATCTGATTTTCGCAAGGGCCCTGGTGGTGATGCTGAAGACCTGCCTTTCTAGGAAACACATTCTCATAAAAGCTGCCTTGTTGGGTCTGGCCGCCTGACAGGAATGAAATGTTAACTTTCTAAACTTGCTTTCCTAGATCTCTCCAAAAGTGGCAAGACAACAGTGTAATTTCTCAGGCCTAAGCTGAACAAAAGACACTAGTGTTTTTCCTTGGCGTGGGGAGAGGAGAGGAAAGGATGCTGAGATTCTAATCCCTGGCTTGGAGTATCACAGGCAATCACAAAGAACACTCGTCTTTTATGGCAGTGCATTTCCCAAGCATCCCTTTGGGAACCCTCAGACCCCAATTGTCTGGGAAACATAAAATCAGTCGCTTTTGGCAGAGCTCAACACACCGGAGCATGGGAAACACAAATTAAACTCGAGATACTTTTTTACTCACTAGATGGTCTGGTTACACATTTACTTGGCATAAAAATAGAATCATTAAAAAAGGGAGCGCCCAAGGGTATAGTTATCTAGCTCAGGTTTGGTGAGGGTCAGAGGAAACTTCAAGTCTCATGACAGTGAAGCACCATCATCCTTTCAGCTTTATGTAAGGAAATCATATAAAATAAGGTCAAAACAACCAGGACTATTTTGTCTAAAATTATTTGTCTTATTTTGCTCATAGGAATTCATAGTGGTTTTGAGATAGAGCATTTTTCAATGCAGTGGACATGGTGTTCTGTTTTGGGTATAGTGGAAATGACTTTCCTTTATTTTATTGCTTGTTTGGCTTATCGAGGGAGCTGAGCCTTACCTAACAAGTAGTTCACGTCTCTTGTCAAAGGCAGTAAATCGATCTCGATCAACTTTGAAACTGAGTGAATTGTTATCTAATCTGTGATTCTGTGGAAATCTTTCTCTTCTGCTATAGAGAAGCTAAGAGACAAGTTTTCCCATCACTCTAGGTGTCATTCTGTTTAATCCTAACATCTGTAATAAAACCAGTAAAGAGCTGTTTGTTCTGATCCATAGTCTCAGGCTGCTTCTGTCCAAAGAGGCTGAAGCCACTTGGCTTGAGATTGCCTATGAGCACTGTGCACTTCGGATTAGTGTTTGAAACTCCATTATACAGGTGCAATCTTCTGGGCCGAGGAGTTTTGATTGCTCTGCCCAACAGTGGTGGTTCCTGAAACTGATTTTCTCACCCCAGTGTAGAGGTGCACACGACAGGCCCCCCACACAGATGTAAGAACTAGAGAGAATTGGCTCAGTTGCCAGACTCTATTCTCCCCATCCTGACCTTATGAGCATAAACATGAGGGTGAAACTCAGGAAAGGAAACCTGTCTTAACAGATATGCCTTTCAAAGGAGCTGGTGTCTTTCATGGGCACCAGGGATAACAGCATCCCTTACCTGGTTCTCAGAGCAGCACTAAAATTCCCAGTAGAAGGCAGAAATCATCAGATGGTGAGTGAGAACTGAACCCCAGCAAGGACACTAATATTACCATGTTCAGTTCTGCTCCAATAATATGGCAGTTTTAAAAGAAACTTTTAAAAGAACTAACAATTACTGAGCACCAGTTCTACATCTAGCACTGTTCTACACATCTGATGTGCACATTTCATGCAATTCTAAGCACCCTCTTCCTGAGCATTTTTGTGGATGCTCAAGAATTAAGTGTATCTTGTAGGCACAGACTTGCTTCTTGAAAACAACGAGAGAGTGAATCATGCTACGGTAAAAAAAAACCCAATGAGTTTTTCTTTAGTGGTCACTATATTCTTTTCTGTTCCCTGAATTCCAAAGGATTTAGCAAAAAGAATCCTATAATACAAAAACTGCCCTTAGCTCAAAATAAATCCATCCTAGTATGCCGGTAAGATCGGCAGAACGTGAAGTGCTCAGATCCAGTAAACAAACAACAGACATCTCCAACGATAACTCTTTTGAAATTTACTTCTAATCACCATTTTCCAAAGGAGAGATGGCTTGTGTTGTAAGAATCAAGGCTCAGTGGATGGTGACAAAGATCTGTTGTCCTGTTTAAAGTAGTTAACTTCTGCTTCCCCCAAACCAGTTGGCATATAACAGGAAGTATGAGAGAAATCAGAATGAACTACTGTACATGCATGTGGTTTGATATCCATAAGCAGCTTCTGTGGGAGAATATGGCTGTGGTTTGTATAATGTTCCTATCTATGAAGCCCAAGAAACCTGAATATAATCTGATATGTACAGAACATTCTTGAGCATGTTCTTCTGCTCTAAACATTCTTAGAAAAGATGACTTCAATGATTGAAATCATGCATGAGCTTACCCAGAGAAGGTCATAATCAGATGGCCTTGCTCTTCCTTCATCGTCTTCATATAAAGAGAAACCTTCTCTCCGAGCCTGATAATACTCTTTCCGCAACTTCTGGATACGGTCAGTGCTTCCACCCGTGGGACGGCCACTACAGAATGTAGACAGATAATCAGAGTCACACAGTGTATATCATCTTTGAAGTCACTTTTGGATTTTTTTGTTAAAGGAATTGACATCCAAATTTGGAATATTCAATAATGTAAATCAAATATGCCAGGAAAATGGCAAAATCAGTCATAAAAATGAACAAAACGTGGTCTTTACATGCCTACTTTTAGTTCCAAGGGTCAAATGTCTGACTTGGGATTTATAAATGCCTTTAAAGACCCACCTTTTTTTTTTTTAAATAATCACACAGATTTTTTTTTGTCAGAGACTTACTCTGTTATCCAGGATAGAGTGCAGTGGTGTGATCTTGGCTTACTGCAACCTCTGTCTCCCGGGTTCAAGTGATTCTCCTGCCTCAACATCCCAAATAGCTGGGATTACAGGCACCTGCCACCATTCCCAGCAAGTTTTTGGGTTTTTTTTTTGTTTGTTTTTTTTTTTTTTTAGTAGAGATGAGGTTTTACCACGTTAGCAAGGCTGGTCTAGTACTCCTGATCTCAAGAGACCTGCCTGCCTCGACCTCTCAAACTGCTGGGATTACAGGCATGAGCCACCACACCTGTCCATAGTTTAAGAGTATTTTGAATTTACTCTAATAATGACAGAAGCATATCATTTGCACGTTTTGGTACTTTAACTCAATTGATAACATCTTATCAATCATGACACTTAACGTTTCATGGGTACGTGAGAATCACTACTGTAGCATTTAGGGAATAAAAACAGGAAAAACGTCCAGAAAGTCATGAACCATCTAAGCGTAAAACACGCTATATCTTCTCCCTTGTGTGAATATTTTAAAGAAATACAGGAGGGTCAAGGAGAAGACGGACAAGTGAGGCTTGGAAAGGTGGGGAGGGCCCCAGTGTGAAGAGCCTTGTATGTCAAAAAAGATCCCCAAATATGACACTTGAGTTCTAAGTTTAAATGAGCTATCTGATAATATGAGATATATAAAAGCAACAGAAAGAGGTCGTCTATTTTGTTAAAATATTTTACAACTATGTTTGTAAATTACAAAAAAAAAAAAGTGCGTAAACACCTTTTGGAGGAAAAGCATTCTTCCCAAGCTAAATGGTAAGATAAATACAAACTGGATGATGTACCTCTGCCTTGTGGCTGCTCCCTGACAGTCTGCACAGGGTTCTGAGCTTCCTGGGTGCTCTACAGACACTCAGCGGCCAATGCCTTGGGTTCAGAAAAGACAAACCCTTGGGAATCACATACCTTTTTTTTCCCCAATATGTATGTTACAACTCTCAAAATAGTTCTAACTCTCTTTCTTTACTATACTTAAAGTTTTCTTTGAGCACTTAGAAAAGATAGTAAGAACAAATTAAAAGTCTTGATAAGCTTTTCTGAACCATGGGCAGGCAGGAAAAGCAGCACAGTCTGTTTTGAACAGCTTCCCTAACTCTTGAGTAATATGAGATGACCAAGGTGTCTGTTTCCAATGCACAGGCTTCTGTCGATTACGGAAATTCATGAGCTGCGTTCAAACTCACCAGATGAGTTCAATCAACATGGTGCAAACATCGCATACATAATCTATTAGTTTACCCCAAAGAAACTGAAGCCTTGAATTCAAGTAGAATGAAGTCATCAGTAATAAAGAAAAAAAAAAAGGAACTGATAAAGCACCGTTTAAAAAAAAAAAAACACTTTTCTTCCATTCGTGGTGGGAAAAAAAATCGTACTGAGACTGTAAACTATTCTTCCATATGCCTATAAATACATAAATTTAAAAATATGGGTTTGATCAGATTGCTGTTCTCAAGTAAGGGAATGGGGCAGGAATACAAAATCAGCTGTTCAGGATTCAGAAAATCCCCTGTGGCTAACAGGAACATGACTATTTACCCAGAAAAGAAATCTGGCCCCAGAGAAAAAACAGGAAGAGAGTCCAGAAAGTCATGGACCATCTAAGTGCAAAACATGCTGTATCATCTCCCTTGCGTGAATATTTTTTAAAAGTATGGAACACAGTGGAAACCTTTCATGATAACCTGGGACCAGTTATCCACTGTGTTATCATCTCTCCTTTATTCCTCTCAACCCTCATTCTACTTTTATAAATGGTACAGGCTTCTCTCAAATAGGTATTTTAGGTGGTAAGAGTAGGGATAGCAAATTCCAATTTCTGATTTTTAGCTCTTCTCAGCAGAAAATACACATATGCTTACAACCAAATTAATAAAAATAATATACACCACTATTGTAACCACAGCAATTAATTGATTCCATGTTGCACTGAAGATGTAAAAACACAGCAACTTTTAGAGGGACATACAAACAATTCTGTGATAGTTACAATCATCATAATAGTTATAATTTATAGAACACATATATAGCAAATATATCTATCTATACTTTCACTTACTCCACTCTGTCCACAGCAGACATCACGAATCAATTACAGCATTCTTTCCCAATGCTATAATCGGAAAAGAATTCTCAGAATTCTTATGGCCTAGAACTTCAGAAAGCCACTACTAATATGTAGGTGCTTATATGTGAGTTTATTTACAATTCCTGTGTAACAGATGCTGTCAATATCTCAAAACCTCAAAAAATATTGATGGATTTATTATTCTGCTCAATAAAGATAAAGAATATGAAGCTCCTAGCAAATAGATGATTAACAAGAGCAGTCTCACCTTAAAGACTGCTCTTCGACCATGGCTTGCTGCCTTCCAACCTACTTCTCTTCCTTCATCTCATTTATGTTGTAGAGACTGCGTCCTCTAGCCAGATACTGAACAAGAATGAAAGTTAAGGCTATAGGATTTACTTTCTGAGGATTCCCATTTTCCCTCCCTATTTACATGTCATTTGTTCTATTTTCCTTGCTTTATGGAATTTCACAGTACAGATTCTAGGAATAGCTTCAGAAGTGACATCAGATCATGATTAACTCAAACATTATTGAAACCACATAAAACTAGTAAAAGTTTCAATAACCTCATCTCCACATTGTTAGTTTAACAACTAGGCTTTCCATATTACTTATTCACTGAATAAAGTAAAGCCCTGGCCATCCTTACAAAAAGTTTCTATTACAGCTGTATCCATATGTAGGTGATCGGTGATAGTCTTATACCTTCAATGTGCTGAAATTTTATGTTAAATTAATTCAAGCAGTATAACAACTTGATGTATATTGTAATTATTTTAAAAATAAATTATATTGCTTATGCCTCTAAAGGCAGATGTATCATTAAACAGGCCCTTCTTGTAACACTTTAGAGCTGGGCAGAGCTTAAAGTTGTAATGGATTTCAGAAACCATGTCATTTTCTTCATAGCCACCCACAGCAACAAATTCCCATATGTCAGAAACATCACACTAAGGCATTATCCGCTTCTTTGGAATCTAGCCTTGTTCCTCCCAGTTTATTATGACCTCAATTGTAGTACTTTTAAAATGAGTGTTCATTTGTGCATGCCTTCATTTCCTCCCATGACTGCTGCAGGCTGAAGAAAATAAACTAACATTTATCAAGCTCTTTTATGATGTCCTAAAGACAATATTTGTGCTTTGCATACCTCATCTCATTTAAGCCTTGGTCAAACCTGTGAAGACGGCATTGTTATTGACATTTTACAGACGAGCACACTGAGGCTCAGTAGTTAAGTAACACACTGGTAAATGGTGGGCCAGGATTTGTGTGACTCCCAACCACCATGGTTTCTACCATATCATGTTGCCTTGCACAAAAGGCATTAAAATGCAGCAGGCATTTTGTGGCTGCAGTTCACAGGCATTTCAAGGCAGAGGGAATTTAGCAGAGCACATTTATAGCGATACCTTTTGATATTCTTTTATTTGCACAGATCTTTGCAATAAAAATAGAAATAGAAGTAACCAAAGTAATAGAAATACAAGCAATGAAGTCTGCATTCATTAAAAAATGATGTTGGAGCCACTGCAGGCTGAAATTTCTGGGCAATTAATATTCTATATCTAACAGGCTTACATAGGGAGCTGGCATAAAACTGAATGGGGTGCAAAAGAGAATCAACATATGACAAAGATCCCACATGAAAGACACACTCTGGATCAGGACCAGGACTGAGAGGAACACAGAACTGTTGGGGAAGTTCATCACTAACTAAATGAGAGGGAGGTGGTCATTACCACCAAACCCTGGTCACTGTTAGACTTGTAAATTATCTGTGATTACATATGTATAAGTGGGCATCTACGTAAATACATACACCCTAACCAGGACTCAATTGTATATATTTGATTTCACACAGCTGTTTCTGTTTTCATACTGCCTCAAGATGTAGCTCTTCATTCTGAAGGAGAGGTGTTTGCCTTTGGTGAGCACCACGCTCATTCGTGGGTACCAGCCTGGTGTCCAGATTTGATGATGCAGTTAAGAAATGGTCTTTATAAGGTCTTTATAAAGTGAGGTGGCTCATGCCTGTAATCCCAGCATTTGGGAGGTTGAGGTGGGTAGATCACTTGAGGTCAGGAGTTCGAGACCAGCCTGGCCAACATGGCGAAACTCCATCTCTACTAAAAATGCACAAAAAATTAGCTGGCATGGTGGCATGTACCTATAATCCTAGCTACAAGGGAGGCCAAGGCAGGATAATCACTTGAACCCAGGAGGCAGAGGTTGCAGTAAGCTGAGATCATGCCACTGCACTTGAGCCTGGGTGACAGAACAAGGCTCTGTACTGTAACTCAAAAAAAAAAAAAAAAAAAAAAAAAAAAGAAAAAGAAAAGAAATGGCTTTGATAGGATGGAACCTTAACAGGAATATTCCTATCTGGATCTGGAGGTAATAATCCTTATGAACTCTCTGAATAAAACTATTTAAATTGGATGTATGCGTGTCAACAACAATCAGTAAGATAGGGAGTGGTTTTGAGTTTAGTGTTTAATAGATTCTTTAATTTTTTATGAAGTTACTGTAAAACGTCATTTTGAATCTTCAAGATTGTTAATTATATAAATATGGTGTTAATT